GTCCATAACATGGTTGCTAAGGGCGTTGCTAAGAGTACAAATCCATATCTATGTTAAGATATTTTAAAATAACTTCAAAAAAAAGTTTTTTTTTTTAAAAATTTCGATTTCAATTTCAGATTCAGTGATAAATTTTGATCTTAAACAGTTATAATTAAAAAAATGAAAATACTAGGATTTTCACCTTTTTGATTGTATAGTAGTACCTTAAATTGGCTGATCAAAGTAGGTTTTCTTAAAATATTTTTCGGTGACTTCTGATCAAAGTAGGTTTTCTTAAAATACTTTTCGGTGTCGAATTTGTACATAAATTGAAACGCTTAGTACTTTTAGTACTAAGCGCTTCAATTTATGTACAAATTCGACAAATGTAAGTACTATAATTCAAGCGCTTAGTGCTAAAAGTTCTTTAGTCACAAAAAATAAATATTTTAAGAATATCATTTAGCTCTAAGCTCTTCAATTGGTAACATATATACTTTAACGTTTTTACTTAATGAGATATTTACAACATTTAATGAAAGAAAAAAATGACTTCTTAAGGTGGTACACCCCCATTAAGTTTAATATTATTTCAGAAAAAATCAATTTTTTAAATATTTATACTTTTTAGTTCATAGAACTTTTTTATAATTTTGTTTTTTAAATAAAATAAACAGATAAGTAAGTAAAAATGTATGTACTTAGACCATAAAAAGATTTTGAGGTCCGTAGCAACGTCATAGCAACGCATTTTGGAATAAGAAAAATTTCATCATGTTCAAGCCTCAAAGCAACAATATCTTATTTATACTTCACCTTCTTCTTTATTTTGTGCTCTATGTTCAGTAAAGGTTTTTAATGGGCTCATGCCCATTAAAAACTTTCACTAAATATTTTTTGTACTTTTCTTAAAACAAAATAATTTCAGATTGGGACCATATGTTAACTTGAAATTTTCAGAGTGTTTTCGTTAGTGTTTTGTCATTCTAGTTAATTACCTAAGTTATTAATTGATATAGAAAATAAACTAGAATCACAAATAATCATGGTGTAAAAGTTTATTTAATACCTTTATTACTTGCCTTTTTTGTTAAAATATTTAAGAATTCTTTTAAAAAATACTTTTAAAATTTCTTACTAGTTATTTTTTAAAACTTCATCAGCTAAACTAGCATCAAATATTAATAAATCTATTTATATTCTTACTCTTAATATTTTATTTATTTTTATTAATAAATCTAATTTATACTCTTACGAATTATTTGTATTAAACTAGTTTTCAATAAAAATTTCAATTGCATTTGTGGAGATAGTTGGCTTGCTTCAAGCCTTTACCTCTCTATATCTATCTAATTCACGATAAAAGCGTGAATTGAAAGTGCAACTAAATAATGCTAATTTAGTTTCTTTATATAAAAGTGCTGCATTTTTTTTTTAATTTAAAGAAATGTAACTGTTTAGAGACGACGTTCATCAAGTTTTATTCATCACAAAGTTCATTAGGTTTATTAAGTATGATGATAGAAAATGAAAATAGGTTTATTAAGTATGATGATAGAATATGAAAATAACAAATATTTAGCCCACTTTTGGAAAGCACAATAAAATATTCCAGCTTTATCTGAAAAAAGTTTCTAGACTCTCACAACAAGAAACAGGGATGCAAGCACACTATTTAAGCAAAATAACTCAATTAAGTTCAAAATAGCATGTTGGGTAATTGTGTTTACTTCGATTGTTAAAAAGATGTACGCTGCCATAACTTTTTTCATAACTTTTAATAGAATTCAAAATCATCTTTGTTTATTGATTCGTGCGCTTTGGCTCTGACAAGAAATTTCTAACTTCAAAGAGAAAAAACGTTTTCTAGGTAGAAAATCTGAAAAAAAGAAGGTTTGCTAACGTTGCAAAGCTGATTATGGAAGTTTTCAATCAATGCCAAATTAGGTTGAAGAACTATAGAGGCCAGGGCTATTATAACGGAGCTAACATTTTAATGTCATTTAACATGGTGATTTCATTCAAGTGATGAATAAAAACATAACCAGAAAGAAAATACAAAAAGTTCTCAAAGTAAATGATGTAAAAGATATGTCATATATATATATATATATATATATATATATATATATATATATATATATATATATATATATATATATATATATATATATATATATATATATATATATATATATATATATATATATATATATATATATATATATATATATATATATATATATATGTATATATATATATATATATATATATATATATATATATGACATATCTTTTACATCATTTACTTTGAGAACTTTTTGTATTTTCTTTCTGGTTATGTTTTTATTCATCACTTGAATGAAATCACCATGTTAAATGACATTAAAATGTTAGCTCCGTTATAATATATAATATATATATATATTATATATATATATATATATATATATATATATATATATATATATATATACATATATATATATATATATATATATATATATATATATATATATATATATATATATATATATATATATATATATATATATATATATATATATATATGTATATATATATATGTATATATATATATATATATATATACATCATATATATATATATATACATATATATATATATATATATTATATATATATATATATATATATATATATATGATGTAAAATATATGTCATATATATATATATATATATATATATATATATATATATATATATATATATATATATATATATGTGTATATATAATATATATATATATATATATATATATAATGATGTAAAAGATATGTCATATATATATATATATATATATATATATATATATATATATATATATATATATATATATATATATATATACATATATATATATATATATATATATATATATATATATATATATAATATATATATATATATATATATATATATATATATACCGTAAAAT